CAGGGCAGTGGCTGCGAGTCCCGTCACCCTGAGGGCTGCCGGGGCAACAGCAACCCCAACAGTGAGCAGCGGGTCCTCTTCCCACGCTGGCCCCATTCCAGGCCTGGCACCGTCTTAAGTGCAGAGATCCAGGAAGGAGTTGGCTCTGCCTACCCTAAAGACCTTTCTTCTCTCCTCCTCCCTTCAGGTCGTGTGTGTCCCCCTGTGGATTCTCATGTCTTTTCTGTGCCTGGTGGTCCTCTACTACATCGTGTGGTCCGTGCTGTTCCTGCGCTCCATGGATGTGATCGCGGAGCAGCGGAGGACACACATCACCATGGCGCTGAGCTGGATGACCATTGTCGTGCCACTCCTTACTTTTGAGGTAAGCTTTCGGCAGAACTCTTGAGGCCCAGCAGCCTGCGCTTCCCCAGCACAGCAGCTCCCCGGGCGAGCCTGCCAACAGAGGACCACAGGACAGTCAGAGCGGCCTTTCTTTGGGGGCCTGGGGGCTGGCAGTGAGAAGTGTACCTTTCTAGCCACCACGCATCTGAATGTATTGATTTGTCGTCTTCTTTTTTTTTTCAATTAATTAATTAATTAATTTATTTATTTTGGGCTGTGTTGGGTCTTCATTTCTGTGCGAGGGCTTTCTCTAGTTGTGGCAAGCGGGGACCACTCTTCATTGCGGTGCACGGGCCTCTCACTATCGCGGCCTCTCTTGTTGCGGAGCACAGGCTCCAGACGCGCAGGCTCAGCAGTTGTGGCCCACGGGCCTAGTTGCTCCGCGGCATGTGGGATCCTCCCAGACCAGGGCACGAACCCGTGTCCCCTGCGTCAGCAGGCAGACTCTCAACCACTGCGCCACCAGGGAAGCCCCGATTTGTCGTCTTCTAGAAAGAGAAAGTTGGATGTGATATTTTTGTATCTGAGCCCTGTGGAGAATTATAGAGTGGGCACTGTTGACTCCTCCAACCAAACAGCTGCAAGAGTTTCCCAGAACAGTCCTGATGTTGGAAATGTTGTAGGTGGATGGATTTTGCTTAGTCCTGAAGAGCCATATGAAAGCTCTTCCTGTCCTTTCCCCCAGAATGGAGGGTTACCGTTGCCTCCTGTGGAGCGAACGTCCCCCTTATGAGACCTGACGAGGGAGGGGCAGTGCAGTCTGGCTTCAGAGAGGGTCTGTTTTCAGATGCTCCATCGACAGAACCTCAACTGTTTCTCTTTCTTTAGATCCTGCTGGTTCACAAGCTAGACGGCCACAACGCGTTCTCTTGTGTCCCGATATTTGTCCCGCTCTGGCTTTCCTTGATCACTCTCATGGCAACCACATTCGGGCAGAAAGGCGGAAACCACTGTATGTACGCAGCATTTCCGAAGCGCTTGAACTGTGTGTGCGTGTGTGTCTGTGTGCCTGATGCGTGGCTGTGTGTGTGTGTGTATGTGGCCCCGCTTTATGAAAAGACGAACCTAAGGACCCCAATCAGGGAGTTTCCCTGGGAAAGGTAGGACTGAAGAAGGCCTGGAATCTTCCAGGGGAAGGACGTGCCATCAGCCTTGCTTTCGTGGCCCTACGACCGGAGGGGAGCCTGAGCGCGGCAGGCAGCCTCTCTGGGCCCATCCCCTCCGCCGCAACACCGGGACCAAGATTCCTTTTTCCCAGGGGCTCCTGAGGATGAGATGAAAATCCACATCATCGACCAAACCCTGAGCGTCCTCCCAGTGTCTGTTTTGTCCTCGCTCTTGCCAGCGTCATTCCTGAGGTCTCCAAGTCTTGTCAGTGGTGCCCGGCTTCTCTCTCTCCCCCTCCACCTGTGTGCTGTGATAGCCCTTTCTGAAGTGCTCTTTGATGAGGGCCCCCTCCTCACTAGACGTTGAGCTCCTTTGCATGTAGGCCCAGAGCACGCCCTTCTGGAAACTAATGCCACCGGGGGTTTTGCCCCAGGAGAGCCAGCACTGAGCTGACGGTTTAGTGGTACCCAGACCAGAAGAACGGGCCTTGGAGAAGGAGCTTTGAGGCCTGGACCAACACACGCCTGCCATCTTCCCGGACTCCAGAGGGTGATGGAGATCCTTTTCTTGGGTGACATTCTTTGTCACACATGTGTTTCTTCTGGGCCGGGAAGACTGGAGGATGTTGACATAGTCCAGACACCGCAGATATTTGAGGCTCGTGAGAGCAATAGTTCGCATACTGGAGGACCCATCAGAATCCCAGGACTGCCCCCCGCCACCCCGCCACAGTTTCTGGTTCAGGAGGTGTGGGCTGGGGCCCAAGATCACATCCCTAACAGGCCCCAGGGAGACATCTGGTAGCTGCCAGTCCAGGAATGCCACCTGCAGAGCTGCAGAGCTGCAGGGCTTCCTTCTTACCCTTAGTCGGTATTGAGGCCTTGCTCAGGCTTCATTCCCAAGACATCAGGATAAAGCACTGCAGTGTACAAGGAAAAGTTCTCATTCATGAAAGAAAAGTAACCTGAAATTCAATGGAGACTAGTGTTTGAGAAAGTACATTTCTTCCTTTTCAGGGTGGTTTGGGATTCGCAAGGATTTCTGTCAGTTTCTGCTTGAAATCTGCCCATTTTTGAGAGAATACGGAAACATTTCCTACGACCTCCACCGTGAAGGTAATGAGGAAACTGAAGAAACGCCAGTTCCAGAGCCTCCTAAGATCGCTCCTATGTTTCGAAAGAAGACCAGGGTGGTTATCACCCAGAGCCCTGGGAAGTATGTCCTCCCACCTCCCAAATTAAATATCGAAATGCCAGATTAGACAGCCCCTTCCAGGGCAGATCGTGAGAGGACCTGGCCCGCACTCTCTTCCGCCTTCCTCTGCCTCTCCGTTCACCTCCCCCACCCCCAGAACTGGAGCTGGAGCTGGGTCTCCAGGGACTTCATCTCATGCCTTGTTTGCACTCAATGCCTACCAATGACTCACCGCGACAGGACACGCAGGTGACAGGGGCCTGGAACACGCAGCATGGTGTGGGGTGCGTGTCAGCGGCTGTGGATCTGATGGAGGGAGCCTGTGGAGAGGGAAGAAGTGATTTCCCCCGGGAAGGTGCCTGTGGAGCTGGCTTGGAGCCATCCTGGGTGGCTGATTAGGCCTGAGCAGGAATGGCTACACAGCTGGTTTTCAAAGTGTGAAAATTCCCATCAAAATTGTTATTGAAAAATGTATTTTTGAACCAGGCCGGCCTGGCCGCATAGCTCAGATGCCCCTGTTGTGGCGTAGTTAGGGGACTGTGAATGGGCCTCGGGCCCCGTGTGCACCCATGCTGCCTCAGCTGGCCTTGCTCCTGCCGTGGACGTCGTTTCTCTCTGGGTTTTTACTGGCCCCATTGGTGAGCCCTTTCTAATGGAGTGACTCCGTGCCTGTATAGTATTTATACAAATATTTTAGCGTTGTAATATACCGTGTTAAATCCTAGTTCTGTACAGTATATTCTGTTAAAGTATTTTTTTACAAGCTTGTACTGAAGACATACGTGTTCTGTTGCAGAAGTAGAGGCCAGTGGCACCCCCGTCCTGCCCATCGGGGTGCCACCCCTTCATGGGACATTGCCATTTCCCCTTCAATTTCTCCACAAACACAGCAGCTGCTACTGCCAGAACGGCCGCAATAAGCAAGAAACTGTGCTTTTTGCTAACATGCTGGGAACACTGACTTGCAGAAAGCCATACAGCATGACTGGAAGCTGGAGCACTGCAGAAGGGTGCCGAGACTAAACGTGGCCACCAGAGTGTGCGCGTTGAGGTCTGGGGCTTTGTGTCTGCCCCCAAGCTGGGCCCATGCTTTTAGCTAGGAGGACCACGACTCCAGGAGCTGGGGGTACAGCCACAAGTCAGAGGGAAGAAAGCAGATGCGATGGGAACAAGCAGGCCGTGAGTAAAAGAAGGTAAAAGGAGCCCTGGCATTGTCACCTGGGAGCAGGGGAGAGGGGGAGAGGGGGCAGCTGCTACCTTGTCTAAACCGGGCTCCGCTGACATCTACCGCGCCCACCGCTCCACCCTGGTGCCAGCCTGTAGGAAGCCTGTGCTGTCTGAAGGGGACACTTGGAATGGTGCCAACTTTCCTGCTTCGTGTATAGCAAATGTAGCCCAATCCACTCTGTTTTTCCCCTTTAGCTGTTCAATAAACTGGTTCATCATTTTCCACGTGCACTGTGCGGGTCTTAATTTGGATATAGTCCAGGATGCTGGAAGTCCTGTCAGCGAGCACAAAAGGGAACCTTGAGCTGCCACCAGCAGCCGAGGGGAGCAGGGGTGGGTGAGCATCTCTCAGGAGTCTCCAGGGACAGCCAGAATATGCACTACAGAGAGGAAAGCGGGAGGCCCAGGGATTCGGCTGTTGGCGGGGGAGCACACGGCCACAATGCTGACAGCTGAGGAGGGGCCCGAGAGTGTTGGCGAGTTCCCAGACATTCTAAAGTGGAACTCGGCTTTTCAGTGGCCCTGAGGCATTGCCCAGTCACGTGGGCACCGAGTACCACTTACATCTATGCAAAATGCACTGTGATTTCTGGGTAGCTCACCCTAGCTGTCTCTAGAGACAGTTAACTCAGGTGGCGTTTCAGCCCACAGTTTGCAAGAATCGACAAGGAAGGCCACCTTTTGCTGGTGATGGAAGGCTTCCTGCAGGTAGCCAAGGGCCACCGATGGACCATTGCTTAAGCTCCTTAGATTCAAACTTGCTGTGAGACAGCACGCTTCTCCGTAACCACGGTAGCTGTGAGTTAAGTGGCAGGTACCTTGCCTCCTGCTGTATGTCCCCCTGAGTCCTCAGGACCCCACGAAGCACGTGCTCCTACGAGTATCCTCGTGGGGAAGCAGAGGCTCTGAGGGCGTGAGCCAGGCAGCTGGGGATCAGCAGGTCTGTGGTGCCGGCCTTGGCATCTTCTGGCCGAGCCCTCGCTCTCACCCACTGGGCTGGGCGCCTGGGCCGTGGGAAGGTGACGTATTGGGTTTGGAGGCGTTTCTGGGTCGTGGAAATCTCAGGAAGATCCTCGAGCCCATGACCAGAGTAGGGTGGGGGGCATCAGTGGAGGTGGCCGCACACGTGGGGAGAACGTGCCAGATGGGCGGTTGTGCATGGCCGCCTGTCTGATGTCCGAGCAGCAGGTCCCAGAGCAGGATGGCAGCACTCACGGCCTGGGCAAACCCAGACGGGGGTCCCGTGGACAGCGATCGGCAGAAAGTGAGCCGCACCGTGGGTGAAGGCTCAGGGCCATCGCTCCGTCCCGGGTGATGGGAAACTAGGTGTGCAGAGTGGGACCAGCCTGGGGTGGACACGTGCAGGCTGAGGAGCCGCAGGGGACAGCGGCCTGAACTCCTCTGTGCCCAGGAGCTCACCCATCACTGCTGCAGCCCCTCCCTGCACCTCCTGTGGACCGACGGCAGGGCCTGGAGAGGGTCTCTGTGGAGGACCAGCTGCACGGCCTGTGACGGTGCCGAAACGGCAGGGTGCCTGCACCCTTGATCGTGGTCCCTGTCCCGGACGTTGCTCGTGCTTGAAATCATGGGTGCTGTGCACGGCCCGGAAGGCCAGGGGACACACAGGAGGACTTCTGACCTCGTGGGTCACACGTGGGTCCGTGCACGTCTGCCTGGCCCGGGGGCTCCGGGACCAGAAGGCCGTGGCCGGTTTGCACGAGCGCTCGGCCTGCGGCTCTGCACCCGTGCACGAGTGTCTTCGTGCCCCCTGCGATGACGGGCGTGAAGCAGGAGGCTGACATGCTGACGGGCCTGCCCTTTAGGATGTCACTTCCTGGCTGGGCTGTGCTGCCACCCCCGAGCAACCGGAGCACTTCTGTGAGGGGCTGAGCGGGAGTGTGAGCCCAGGGTGCTGCCGGCCGCGCTGCACTGTCCCGTTTACGTGGCGGAGGGGCACGCCGCGCTCCGCATGGCTGCGGACGAGAAGGGCCCCGCCGCGGGCAGGGCACCCGGCTTCGGCGAGGCGCCTCTTCCTCCCGACACAGCGGCTCCGGCCCTCGGCTCAGGGAGCTGCACCCCCCAGTCCCTCGCCCTGGACCAGCCCGTGCCCGCGGGGCACCCCGACCTCAGGCTGCTGCCTGGAGAAGCCGCTTTCCAGGATTTGACGGAAGAGCCTTTGTTGAAAAGGCCTCGCACCGCCTGCGAGGCCGTGTGGGAAGGCAGCCTGCTCTTCCACCCCTTTCCCAGGAAGCCGTGGACGATCGTCCACAGCAGTCGCTTTGCATCCATTGGGTGGAATGAAGACGGGACTTGCATAGGCGTCAACAGGCCGCTGTTTCAAAAGGAGGTTTTGGACAGGGACGGCCTAGACAAGGTGTTCAAGACAGAACGTGTGGAGAGCTTCATCCGCCAGCTTAACCGCTATGGATTCAGCAAAGTGTACCAGGACATGCACACGTCCCTCTGCATGACCAACCTGTCCACGAAGGAGCGGCCCGCCCACGTCCTGAGCGAGGTAAGGAGGGCGGGGGATGGCGGGGGAGGAGCCCTCTCCAGGGACTGAGCCGCTGGGTCCGGGGGTGGGGGTGGGGGGGGCGGGTGCCAACCCCGGGGCCGCCTGGGACGGCGGCAGGCGTGTCGGGAGAGCTTCCTTTAAAGGTGGTACTTGGGCACCGGCGTGACGGCCGGAGCTGGCAGTGCCGCGCGCTGTGTTGGGACGTTGTTATGGGGGGACCCGAAGCGTTCTCAGCACAAGGACGTCACTTCTCTCCCTCCTCCTTTTCCCTTTGGTGTGTCTGTGTGAGGTGATGCGTGTGAACTGGACCCCCTGTGGTGATCATTTCACAGCACACGCGGGCAAGGCGTCATCCTGTACTCCTGACACGTGGGCAGTGCCGCTCGTGCCTGACACGCAGTCACAGCGGGGGACAAGAGGACACTGCTGCAACGCTGGCCCTTCCCGTCCTCCTGCTCGAGGCCAAGAAAACACATACCAAAGGCCCCAGGACTTATGGCACGCGGCCAAAGAGGCACTTGGGACCTAAAGCTGCAAACACCCGTGTTCCAATGGAGGCGACACCTCAGATCAACCGCCTCATCTTGAACGGGGACAAGCGAGAAGACGAGGAAGGCGAGCCCAAGCATTCTGACAACAAATGTTCACGAGAAAAGAAAAACTGCGCTAATCCACGTACGCGGGGATCCCAAGACGTGCACTGGTCGGGAATCCTCACAACATGGGGGAGGGCCCATCCTTCTTACACACTCAGTAACAAGAGCTACAGCCACCGACCACTTCATTTGGCCCAGGCTTTTTACAAGCAGGTCACATCATGGGGAAACCCACACCAATGCTTTTGCCT